TGTGCAAAACCAAGCAATTCGATGAGGATGTTAGAACAAGAAAGTAATTTGTATATTATAGACGATATTTGAGCGAGGATGGGTGTTAATAGGGCAAAGACCATTTCCTTTAAGAATCTATTTAAATCAATGTTTTTTTTGGCAGTGGCAAATATTGGCAAGATTTTTGTGCATATTCCAATGCTGGAGACTTTAAGCATTGAACGGATACTAATTTCCATGCGGAATATTGCCGAATAGTCTTATATCTTATAAAAATGCCACTGATTTTTTAAATATAAAACATTATAAAAAAATAGAAGGAAACATTTCAAAATAAAAATATGGCATAAAACAGAACAGAGCAAACAAACAAAGCTGGCTATGTATCCATCATGACAGTTATTATGAACAATTTGCACACAAAAAAAGCACTACAAACAATTCCACTATTTTTATAATCTTAGAAATATTCAGAATACACTCAAGATAATTCATACTTTTAACTGAAATATATTATTTATTTGATAGTCAACTTACGACTTAAAAAAGCTAATAACTAATAAACGTGCTTACATTTAGTATTTATAGATTTGTATTCAGTTAAGATAAAAAATGAAAATAAAAAAATATCACTTTAGGCCAGGTTTATAGACCAAATACACCTATGCGCGGCCCCGGTGAGGCGGGCGCGGCGTTTGAATATGGTTTGGTTAGGTTAGGTTAGTTAATCAGGTAAATTTCCTCTTAATTATCTAGTTCCGAATCCTTCTCGCATCTCCGAAATAGCCATATACAATACACGTGATGCATATACGCAAAGTTACGCATCTGTGTATTGTTATATGGCTTTTTAGGAGATGCGAGATGCGAGCGATATTTGAAGATGCGAGTGGTCAAGAATAGGTCCCCAGAGACGGCGCTGGTTGCCGGAAAGCAGAAACCTGCCTCCACTATGTTCGTACCCTTAGGGTAAGGGTTTTTGGAGGGGCTAGGATCAGTGAAATCTGGAGCTTTGCAAAAAGCTGGAAGTGTTTTAATGCAAAGAAGAACCAGAGGAAGGTTTAGTACAATAATACAGGGGTATCGCAATGGTGTGTTTAAATAAAAAAGGACCCGCGGAATCCTTACAATAGACAGGATAGCTTTCATACATAATATGATAATATAAAAAAAAATAAATTAATTAAATTCACATTCGTCAGAACACCAAATTAATATTCCGAATCCATCAATTGTATATTTTCGAGATAACAAACTAGACGTTTAAAAGTCTCTTAAAAGTCGTTCCATTTTTCACCTTGATATGTTAATTACTACTACCGTCGCCGAGTGACTTTATAATTGCCGAGGCACCAGGTGCAAGCATCGGCCAATACGATACTACTCTTGACAAGTAAGGGAGTGGTCGTTCGAATAGGAATGTTTATTTCAAGAAAATTTATCGATATTCATGACTGATTATTTGGACGCGACCAAAACTCATGGCAGATTTTTTAGAAAAACATAGATCGCAGCATCAACACTTTATTAATGATTTTATCTATACCACAATTGGCAGATTATGTTATTCCTGTGATTTTTGAATTATTTCCTTCAAAATAAAGAAAACCGTTCAAAAAACTGTTAATTTAGAAAACTCTGCAACTATTCTTTGACTATATGTTTAATTAAATTTTAATATCGATATTTTACTACAATATCGAACATTTGACGTATCGATATTTGTGAACCTGTCTGCATTCTACGAGTCCCTTTCTGTCTTACCCGAATGACTCATTGGTCGGCCGCAGGGATATCGACTCGTTTTTCAACAAGGCTTACAAAATTATCGCTATTCTATTTTCATACGAATAACTGAAACACATACAAGTGGGAAACAAATACAATAGAGAAAGGTTATTTATTATTCAAGTTCCTTCGCCATAATGTCCAGATTTAAATTCATAATATATATTGTGTATTAACATCCAAAAATATTGAAAACCTAATTTTTTAATTGAATTTCCTTAGTAACAGCTGCGAATTGTGAATTACGTTATATGTGGTGGTTTAAAACCCATTTTTTCTGGGAAAAAATACTGATATTGAAGTTTTAAAATGATATTTTGAAATTAAATAATGGTAGGTTTGTTTTTTTGTTTAAAATGTCAAAAATAACAGGAATTTTATTAGGCATTTAGAGTAACTGAAGATATCCAAACTAAATATCTAGTTCATTCGATCATTAGTAATAGTAGACACCGCCATGGGGTTACTAGAAGCTTACAAAACTGTCGTGAGCCTATATTGAAAAAAAATAAGTAAATTTACAAAAAAAAATATAAATAGTAAAACCAAATTTGGTATGTTAGAATATCACATAAATCTGTATTGATGTATTCAATTACTTTCGGTCATTTCCTGTTTCCACACTTCCAAAATGACACTCTATATCTTATAAAAATATTTTTAAATTGTAGCTCTAATAACGAATCCAAAACTTACAATTTGTAAAAATCTAATCGTTTAGCTACAATACTCCGTGTCGTATGTGGTGAACAACCCTGTACATAATAATTTGTATGACTACAGACTACAGGAAACAAAACGCAAATTTGCTTAAAGCTGTAAACTTGTCATAAAGACCTTACATTGTTTCCAGCCAATGATTGTTCAATTTTCATCATCAAATAATAACTGATAATATACACAAACATCCCGTCAAAAAAATATATCTAAACAAAACTAAAGAGAACAAAAGATATAATTATATTTGTTGTTTTCCTTCCTTTATTACAGCTTGACGTTAATTCTGCTAATATATTTGCACAAACAAAACGAGTGCGTCTACGTACAACAAGAAACCAAGGCACGCTATATTAGACATATGCCATAAAATACATATTTAAGTAACAACTCTCATAGTTAAATGGAGGAAGATTTACGAGCAATTAGCTCCTCCTTTCGTGAGTCTAGTTCTTGTTTGCCCGACTAAACGCAGTTCTCGAGTTGGCGGTTGCATACGCTGCGAAAGCGCAACGTTTGTGCCACTACATCAAAAGCTAACGTGCCCTAAACCAATATTGACGAAGATAGTGCCATGTTTCATAAAAGATGTTTACTGAAGGCATTAGCAAACGTATCGAACGAAAAATACACCATTATTTCATTTTATTTTTGTTTCAAAACAATAAAGCACAATCCAAAAAATTGTATTAATTTGAGTATACAGGGTGTCACAGAAATAACTGCAAGTATTTTAAGGGGTGGTGGATATGACCAAAAGAAACATATTGTCTCTGTACCATTTTTTAAAAAAATCTTTATCATTTTTAAAACCCATAACTGCCCATTTGTTCTGAATTTGGGACACCTTGTATGTACAAATAAGAAAGAACGACAGAAAAATATCTAATGCTAGTTCATCCAAAAACACCCTATACAGAGAAGACCAGGCTACTAGTAACATAGCAAGTTGCCGGACGAATTTACGTTTACCCGTTTTGCGTCCGTACTCGAGAGTCACTGCCGGCTAGTCGGCTGGTCAGGCAGTACGCAGTTGCAGTTGTGCTTGGACGGGTCGGTCGTGACAGACTAGGAATACGACGCGAGGAGTGCCGTGTATTTATTATTTTCATTTTAAGTGTTTACCTTCACTTAAGGTAACATTTAAAATAAAAATACTTAAATATTTATTATTTGAGTGTGTTTACAAGCCAAAACTAAAAATAAATAAATTCTCTAAACCCAAAAAAAAACTATAATATTACTCTAAATAAAAAAAAGTTATAAAAGTAAGTGTTCAAAAAGACTACCTTCTTGTGCTAGATAGAAGCCTAGGCGGTCGTAAAATCCCCGTCTGACATTGGCTAACATATTAGGGCTAATAGTTTGGAAAGCCTCTCGTACTTTTACTTGTAGCTCATCCAGATTATTAGCCCTATTATGACCATACATTATTTTACATAACCCCACAAAAAGAAATCATTGGGAGAAAGATCTGGTGATCTAGCGGGCCACAAAATAGTTCCATGTCCACTAATTAAACGGTTGGGAAAAGTATTGTTCAAATATCCTTGAACAATACGGGCATTGTGCAGGGCAACCACCTCAGCAATTTGATTACTTGAAAACGTGGGATTTTGATCCGCGGTAGCACAAACGAACACTTGCTTTAACTCCTGTTCTTCATTAATCAACACATCAGGCTTTTTGTGTTTTTGTGGGGACACGCCACCCATGTGTTTCAAAATTATTAATAACTCTTGATATAGTAGATAAAGATGGAATTGGCCTGTTTACAAAAGTTTGTGGAAAAATTGTTTGTATATCCCGATAAGACCTATTTTGGAAATACCATTTTACAATTTGAATTTTCTCACGAACTTCATAAACATCCTGTCGCGAGAATCTACGTATTCGTTTTGGCTATTAAAACACGAATAAATACAAATTCTGAAACATTCTTATCATATATCGACCTATTTTTATTTTATCGCATTTTTTCGCCTGCTTTTTATCACAGGGGAACTGTTTACATTTTATGCGAATGCCAACATCCTATTGTTATTGTTTGGTATGTTGCCCAGTATTTCTCCGCTTTTGTTTATTTTTAATTTTGTATACGTATACTTTGGGGAAATCTTAAGAAAATAATAATATAATTAGCTTACTACTTTTCAAAATTTCGACATTTATAATTTTATTTAGTACTTATTAAGATTCAGTCAAGATTACAAGAAAAATAAACTTGAAATATTTGTAAATTTCGTCATTTTTCATCAGCCGTTAGGATTAATTTTAATCTGACAACACCGCTCTGTTGTTATAGTATTTTCTATAGTAGGGGGAATTGGACGCGGTCAACAGTGTCAATACTGTCGATAAACAGCTGATTGGCATGATCAGCTGTTTGCCGTGCTTTTATTTTTCCATATTTCTTAACTATTAATAAACTATTAATGTATAATTGTTTCATTTTATATAAAAGACCAAAATTAGCATTTAAAATGGGTCTACACTGGCAAAATGTGTGAGAATAAAAAGAATTTAAACATCGTCATTTCAAAAGTAAGTACTGTTCTGTGGTAATACAACATCTCGTTTTATTTACCTAAAATATTTACCATATTTGTTAAAATTTGTTTATTTGTTTTATAATATAATTTTGTGAATATAATATATTATGTATATTATAAGAAGTAATGTTTATATTTTTGTTACAATATTGTCCGATTTAAAATCGTATATTTGTATTTAATTATGAATACAAATAATTTGTATGTTTACATAAATTATAATTGGTATGTTTACATTTGTAAAATAATGCCTATTTACGTTTTCTATTACTAAGATAAATATTTTATTTCAGATTTCTAAAAGATAGTGAGAGAAAAATTAAATAGTTTTCTCTGTTAGGATTTATTCATAGCATAATATTAAAAAGTCGAGCAAAAGAGAACTCAAGAACAGCTGATTTTTTTATAAGGAATTGAAGAAAATATTTAAAAGCTGATGATTTTCACAGCCATTTATGTCGCGATTTGTGGTCTTTCAGTTGTTTCAACATCACCTAGGAAATTAACATTAAGATATCAGGATCCTGCATATAACGAGATAAGAACTATGATCTTGTTAGGATACCTATTCCGTCACAATATGTAAGTACATATATATTTACAGTTTAATTTTTTAATATAAAATATTACTATATACTAATATGTATACACAGATTCAAAGTGTACAGGGTGGTGCCTTTCATACAATATGAAGGTTTCAAGGATTTTTGTTGATGGAAGTTTGTATTGAAAGAACAAATGGAGGGTTTAGAAATCAATCAAGTCATACAAATTCACTTTCATTTTCCTTGGCGCCATTGCGTCCTATGAGAGGTGTTACCCTATATGTATATAGATTTGTATATATATATATATATATATATATATATATATATATATATATATATATATATATATATATATATATATATATATAATATATATTATATTAATATTATTTTACTAAAATTACACTATAGTTGTATAAGATCTCACCATCGAAAAAAAAAACAGCGTTAGGGTTGGCTTTGAAAGCAAGATTTATGTAATTTTATAAAATGTAAATTTATGTGGTGAATGTCATTGATCGTCAATTTTATTTTGCTCACAATGTATACTCAATGTAGATATTTATATTCACCAACTTCATGTTTATATTTTGTTTTAGGAAGTGAAGATATTCATGGTGTGGAAGTCGTTACTTTAATTACATAGTGCATATGAAATTGGTCCTTTACATCATGTTTAAAATTGACGTAATGCTACTATGCAAAATAGTGAGAGATGTGAACCCTAGGCAGAGCTACAGAATTACTTTTGTTGAGAGACAAATTATGATAGTGATTAGAATCGCATATTCTAGACTTTTACTTAAAAAATGATTTGTTCGGAATGAACTTTTATAGTGTGGAGGAATACCTGCAAATTATAATATGAGGCCTACGTATATGATAATTTTATTATGATCTGTTGTGTTTGTTTTTTTATATTTTGTATTATATATTTGTGTTAGCTTTAAGAATTTATTGACTATTCCTATACAATTGTACATTGTTTTATGGAAATAAATAAATGATTGATTGATTGAATAAGTTAGGAAACCATACGATCGAGAAAAAAACGGCTTCAAAGGCGACTGGGGAATGAAAATATGATAATTTCAGTGAGGTCAAGCCCTAGAAGTCATTTTCTTGGCTCGTACTATTTTTTAAAGGCGCTCTAAGGTTGTAATTTATTTTTACATTAAGTAAATATGATTTTTAAATGGTGTAGTTTAAGATTGACCTCGCTAAATTATCAATCGTCATTCCTCAGCCGCCTTTGACGCCGTTTTTTTTAGACTATTTGCTATAACTATGTTATCTGTTATGCAAATACATATGTCAACAAGTAAAAAGCCAATGAGAAATTAGTTTCTGCTTGGATCCTTACAGTGGCATTTAACAAAATATATATTTTTTCAGGTTACAATATTTTATTTAATATGAACCTGTAAATGTAAGAATATTATACATATATTATATTTTTTACTCAGTCCCTAAATATATTATTAAAATACAACACTTGTGTTTTTTATTAATATCGTGTTATGATTAATACCTAATTAATGTAAAATTATATGGTATGTAAATATCCTTACACTGAGAATTCGTTTGGTCAAAATATTACTCTCTTACTAATATGAATTTGAAAACTACAGAACATTGTTTTTTTTTAGTTTTTGTGCTAATATTTCCACTTAAAATTACCGAATATATTTATGGTATAGGTAGGAAAAGATGAATTTTGTGCTTTTTAATTATACATTATATTAATTATATTATTATTGTAAATAATATCTACTGATATTTAATATAAAAAATAGTTATTCACATGCATCTATTTTTCTTTTGTTCCATTAACATTTTAGTTTATCAATTATCAATCACTATACGATATACAATACGTATAATATCTTTTAATTATATCTAACTTTTAATTATTGAATATTTAATAAACAAATTTTTTATAGTGTTTGTTAAATATTTTATAGCATATACTATTATGTATTTATAATAATTTATTAGTTTTATTGCATGAACATACTTTTAAAATTTATTATTAAAAAATATTTTATCTTTGCCTCTAACCACCTACTTCTATATCTCTGGCTTTTACTTTACTATCATCAATGAATCTCAAGGTTAAATTCTGTTTTGATGCTCTTCCGCTGTAAACTCCCCTACCACTTTCCTCTTTACCCCGCTGTCCATAAACTATGGTAGTGGGGGCACTCACCGATAAAACGATGTAGGCACCTCGATTTTGTGAATTTATGAATGACTTGCTCTATCTATTTTTATTCTTAATCTAAGCTTTTTATCCGGCGGACGGGTATACGCTAATTCGTCCGGTTCTGCCTATGTTACTACTACGGTGGTCCGGCCTGTATATCAAAACACTAAAACGAACACTGTCCCCTATCAACCTTTTCTAAAAATTAAAATACAATCAACATCCATATCGACAACGAATATCTTACAATAACGTTATTAATAGTCCCCATAAAATACAAATTACCATCCATATCTCGACTAGATACAGCCGAAACGGAAATATCGAAACCTACTTGTGAAAACAGTAAGTTAGAACAAGATGAAAGATAACAATCTCTTCGGAGGTGACCTATACTCATAGCAATTCATACAACGTTCATGAGGGAAGGTCAGCCGCAAGTTCTTTGGCCCCATAAGTTATTATTATTGGCGTGTGATGCGGAGATCATATATTTTAACCTTGTGCTATGCTGCCGGTCAAAAATCATAAAAATAACTTTTTACGGCTCGGCTGAAAATGCTTGAAGTATATGGCATAACTTCTATGAATTATGGGTGATACCGAGACGAATATTTCGTTTAAAAAAAATGTTTCTTCAGGTAAAATTGTAATGAAATATTCCTGACATTTTTTGTTTAATTATATCCAATAGTAAAACAGAAACATAGGTGCACCAGCCTGAAGGAAATGCACTATTTCATGACTATTGCCATGATATTTCTGCCTGGTAAATTGGAATATCCTTGTTTCGGCCCAACTGTTACGCCTTTAGGATACATCTAACCCAAACGTAGGGTAAATTTTCAAGATTAAAATCAATCTTCAAGAAGCCCAATAAAATAGAGACTGATGTACAGGGTGGGTCAAATTCGACGCTTTTAAATGGAAACGCCCTTTTCTATAGGAGATAGACGAAAACTAATATCGGTGTCTGGAGCTCAATTTTCACCAAAAACATGATGGTAAAAACCGCACATCAATATCTGTTACCGTTTTGGAGTTACGGGGTGTTTTTCAAAAATGTGCATTTTTAACAAATCGCGGTAACTTTTTTGCTATGGAAAATTTTGTATTTCTATGAAAACATTTCCAAAGCACCTTTTTACGTAGAATTTAATAGTTTAAGTATATATTTTTTTAAATTAATAATTTAAGAGTTATCAACAGAAAAATTGATTTTTTATTTGGGACACCCTCTATATTTTTAATAAACTGTAAAGAATTTAAAATTACCTTTCCAAAAATATAGCACACTTGATATTTTGTTATAATCCCCTTCGAAATACAGAATTTTAAAAGTTCGCCACTTTTAACTAGTAGGCTTTGGACCCCTTATTGCTGATATGCCCTTAATGGAACTCGAAAACATATTTTTCCAGCAAGACGATGCACCACCTCTGAACGCTGAAGTTATCGGCAAATTTTTGCAGCCTATTTCAAGAATAATTGAATAGCTTACCAAGATCCCAGCCGTTGGCCGTTGAGGCCGCCTGACTTAGTGCCCATGGATCTAATCCTATGGATATATTTGCGGAAGAATAAAGGTTCCTTATTCCGTATAATCTAGACAAGAATTAGAAATACTTAGCAGTTATGAGAGAGTATCTTTCACCCCTACTGAGTTAATGAATTCCGCGCGAAATGTTCAAAAACTGCCCCGTCTGTCCCTAACAGAAGACGGTTAATATGTCGAACACCTGTAGCAAAATCTCATGTCTTGGTTTGCTATTTATTTTTATTGTTATTAGATATAGTTTAAATGTGTTGATGTTGGTTAAATATATTTTAAATTGTTATAAAATTCTGCATCTCTCATAACAAATATTATTTTCGTTTTAATTGATGCTCACAGCTTGAATTTTTTGCATTATAGCCGGTGCCGTTCAAAGCCTACTTATTTAAAGCGGGCAAATTTTTATATACTCTATATTTCGAAGAGGAATCGAGCAAAACATGAAGTGTGTTATATTTTTGGAAAGGTAATTTTAAATTTTTTTCAATAAACTAAAAATATACAGGGTGTTCCATATAAAAAATCAAATTTTCTGTTGATAATTCTTAAATTATTAATTTTAAGAAAATTATACTTAAACCATTAAATTCTACGTAAAAAGGTACTTTGGAAATGTTTTCATAAAAATAGAAAATTTTCCATAGCAAAAAAAGTTACAGCGATTTATTAAAAATGCATATTTTTGAAAAACACCCCGTAACTCCGAAACGGTAACAGATATCGACATGCGGTTTTCACCATCATGTTTTTGACAAAAATTGAGCTCCAGACACCGATATTAGTTTTTGTCTATTTCTTATAGAAAAGGGTGTTTCCATTTAAAAGCGTCGAATTTGACCCACCCTGTACAGGGTGGCGCCTCTCATACGCCGCAGAAGCTCCGAGGAGAACGGTAGTTTATATCGAAATGAAATTTTGACAGCATATGTAGGTTAACTGAAAGAATTTTATAAAAATATATAAAATTATACAGGGAGTCACCAAAAAACGTTACACATCAAAGTTGTGTTTTTTTCTAATGGAACATCCTCTATATTAATAGATTTTCTGATTCTACGAAAAAAAATAAAGGTGAGTTTTATTAAAGAAGCATATACGAGGATGGTCTGAAAAGTTTCCGACGTCAACGTGAAGATGGCAGCACTCGTAGATAAAAGCTAGTGACTTTTCATTGTTCATCTGTTGACAGTTATTCACCAAAGTTTCAGCCATTTTGGATGCGCAGTTGTTATGGAACAGTAGTTTGAGTGAGTTGATCTGAGTGTTTTTGTGAAAATGGACAAAATCGAGTATCGAGCTGTCATTAAATATCTGGTTTTGAACGGCAATACGCCTACACAAATTAAACATGAGTTGGATTCTGTGTATGGGGACTCTGCACCATCATTTACCACAGTGAAATTTTGGGCAGCCGAATCTAAACGTGGCCGTAAGAGCTTGGGAGACGATGAACGTTAGGGACATCCAAAAACTGCAACTACCGACGATAACATCGCCAAAGTTCACCAAATGGTGCTAGACGACCGCCGAATTAAAGTGAGAGATATAGCAGAGGTTATGAACATATCAAAAGAACGTGTTTGTCACATATTAAATCAAAATTTACGCAAGAGAAAACTATCCGCGCGTTGGGTGCCGCGTTTGCTCACGTTAGACCAAAAGCGTGTTCGTATGAACATTTCCAACGCTATGTTAGCGCAGTTTAGGCGCAATAAATCCGAGTTTTGGCATCGATTAATTACTGTAGATGAAACTTGGATACACCACTATACACCAGAAACGAAAATAACAGTCCAAACAGTGGACGGCAGAGGGAGAACCGGCTCCAAAAAAGCAAAAACTGTTATTTCGGCTGGGACAGTGATGGCGACTGTTTTTTGGGATAGTCATGGAGTTATTTTAATTGATTATTTTCAAAAAGGAAAAACCATCACAGGAGCACACTACGCATCATTACTTGACAAGCTAAAAGCAGAACTTACGGGAAAACGGCCACATTTACAGAAAAAGAAAATCCTGTTTCACCAAGATAACGCACCATCTCACACCTCAGCGGTTGCCATGGCGAAAATCCACGAATTACGGTTTGAACTGCTTGACCATCCGCCTTACTCACCAGATCTAGCCCCTAGCGACTTCTTTTTGTTCCCTCATTTAAAAATTGCGCTCGGAGAACAGAGATTTTTTCGTCAAATGAAGAGGCAATCACCTTCGTGAACCACTATTTTGCAGAGAAAAACGCCGTGTACTATTTGGACGGGTTACAGAGATGGGAGCATCGCTGGGAAAAGTGTGTAGTTTGGTTTGGTTTGGGACAGAGGACTATGTTGAAGTGAAAGGTTTAGTTACAAGAGGACTATGTTGAAAAATAAAATAAAATATTCAGAAAAAATGTCTTGTATCTTTGTTAGGTCGGAAACTTTTCAGACCACCCTCGTCCGTAAAATCTAAGGATTTTGACATATTTCACATTTTGTGAAAATAAAGGGTAAATTTAAAATTTCGATAACAGCTTCCTAAATTTTAGATGACCTTGTATAGCCTGATATTTAATTACGGTAACCATTGTATGTTAAACCAAATTAAAATTTGACCCGAAAAGTTATACAGGGTGAGACAAAATTAATATGGAACATTAGTCACTTTTAAAACCGAGTTATTCCTTTATTTTAAATGGAACACCCTGTATATTTTTCCGGTGTTCAATAGGGAATTTATATATCTTCAAAATATTGTTAAGGTTGCCTACCCCTCAGACAAAGATTTTCGTAGATATTTTAATTTTTATGATTTTGCGTCAGTAGATCTTTATTATTTGAAAAAATCTAGGATGACTGTGTGATATATCTTTTGTTAATTTGACAAAAATTAAAGATTGTAGAGTAAAATACACAATGGTAATAAACGATACATGTATAAAACATATTTTAATTATTACAGAATTGTAGTTCTACCTCGAAAAGGAGCTAAAATAATTGATCGAGTTTTGTAAACACTGTTTTTAACATATCCCCATAAAAAAACAGACTAGATAAAATCAGGAGCATTTAAGTAGGTATTCTATTAATTGGTGAATGCACACTGCATTCACCAACTTATAGAATCACATCAATTCTCTCTAATGTAGGATAAGTTTGCATGTTCGGCAAATTTCTGAGAATTTTTTTGTTTCAACTGACACAAAATATATAGGGTGTTCCATTACAAAAAACACAACT